TAGACAATCATCTTGAATTGTCTCTAGTTTGTATGTAATTCTTGCTGTCATTTTCCAACACTCACTGTTGTATAACAGTGTTCCTAAAATATTTTGATAATCTGCCCATAGGGTTATCATCAGTGTTCTGTAACACCACATTCTGCAACTCACACGTGGATAATTTCCATGATTCGCTTCCATTCATCAGGAATTCCCATGCATAACAAATATAAGTGATCAGTGAGGATTATCATCACAGCACTGCATACAGATCCAGAGGTGCTCCGATCACCTCCTCAGTAGCCTCATGGGCGTAAAACGACTGAGGACGCCTGTTCTGTGTTGACTTATCAAAGTCTTGTGCCTTTGGTGAAATGTTGATTTCTTGCAGCTGTACCTTACATGCCTATGTCCATCAACCTGGACAAGGGAATGGAGTAATGCACTTGGCCGCATTCATCTTTGAAGTTAGTGCTGCACATGGCATTGATGATATCATTTCTTTCAAGTGCAGACCAGTCATAGCAGCTGCAGAGTCAGCCAGATAATAAGCACATTCGCTGCCTTGAACACCTGAAGCAGAGATAAAGGTTAGGCTAGCAATTCATGAAGTACATAGTGATACAATCTATTCTTGGCCAGTGAACCCAGGCTGGATTTTCATGAGCATATTCATTGAGTCACAGAGTATGCAAGGGTGTGATAAATCCTGAGCACCCAGCCATGCTAATATCCTTGTAACGGCCACACAATAGGTCAAGGGTAATATTAAAGTGTTCCCCTCTGCAGCTGAATTAAGTACCAGACCAGTCATAGCAGCTGCAGCGTCTGCCAGATAATCTGCGCGCTTTTTACCTCCAACACCTCTATAACCCAACGCAAAGGTAAAGGTTAGGCCAGCCATTTGCAACATGCGCAGTGATGCAACCAATTCTTATCTGACAAACCCAGTCACAGTAGGCACCCATGTGTGAACTTGAGTACCCACCCATGCTAATACCCTTGTCGTGGCCACATATAATGTCTGGTGATAATGAGGCTTTTTCTCTGCAGCTGAGACACAACGTCTCACAAACTAGCTCACTTTCCGGACTTTATTTCCTGTATCATGAATGTCCCTGCATAAAAATATTAGTGGTAATACTGAGAACTGAAGCCAACCCATACAGTGCTTCCTTTTGGTTCTGTCCCGCTCTATTCATCGGTAATCATACTCCGTTGGTCCCCTTCTCATAGGATTTATTTAAAAAATGAGGTAATTATTTACTTATGAATCTTGCAACCTATTATCTTCCGCCAGTTAAAGAATAAAATGTGTGTTACAAATGTGAATGAAGTCGGTGAGCAGTTAGCAGATCGTTTCAGTGAACATATTATACCACATCTCCAACAGCTTTTCCATTGCCATAAAATATTGCACCATGGATCAAATCACCCATCTCTTTTAAGAAAACAGCTCTATTTAGATGCCTTTATCTCTGCTGGAAACTAAGCTATATGGATAATGGCATGGTTTGCAATGCACTACGGCTTACATGGAAACCTGTCGCCTTATCATCTGAAAACCGCTGGCATTCCCAAAACTGGGCATTTCCATGCGTGCTCAGTCCTCCCATGCAGCAGCCACTCCAAGGTACGACCTCTCCAGGTATGCTGGCATGATGGGAAATGAGCAGGCAGACAGACTGGCTGGCTCTGCACCACTTAGGGGCGAATTTATGCATGACAAGTTTTATATTGTTAGGGCCCTTTGGGAATGGGTGAACAGTGCATAGGCGCAGATAGATCATTATGGTCAGAGGAGAATGGCGCTGTGAGGAGTTACTTGGGAATCTGGCTGACGCTCAACACTCAGGGAAAGGATGAGACGGATATACCATCAGACGGTTATTTGTACCATCGGGTTACGAATACCAGCATTACTGCTTTAGAGAGAAAGTTGGAATAAGACTATGGATTATATTGACAGACAAAGAATGAAATGGTTCGGTATATAATGAGAATGCAACTAGACCAGACTAAATATGGGACTTTTTACAGTAGAACATCTAGCAGGAAGACCAAGACTGATGTGGATAAATGCTGTAGATAAAACCTGCAAAATTTTGAACAAATCCATCACTCAAACCACTCGAGAAGTGCAAGAAAAATACAGAAAACCACGACATTGGGTTACAACCTGGCATCAGCCAGACGACAAAAGAAGGAGAACGTTTAGTAAAAGAAATATAAAAGAATAGTTCTGCACAATCACATAAATTATATTTTATAATCCCCTAAAGGCTCTATTTAAAGTAAAGTGTAGTTGTGAGCAAACACTAGGATTTTTTTGAGGCCCGTGCAGAGTGTGAGGCTTCAAGCTGTATCTTAGCCTATGCCTAAATCTAGCACTGGGTGCATGCCTGGCTCTAACTGTGTTTCTCTTATTTATCTCCGCTATTATATGTTGCTGTGGTTGCTTTGGCTGGTCGGGTACTTGACAGAAGCGATGACATCGGTGCCCTTACTGCGAAGATAATACGGTAAAAATCATGACTTCGTTTACAGGTCCATGCTGATGAACATGGGGTGCAACCTTGAACTGCAGGAAATTTACATTCCACTGACGGCCCAAGACGCGTGATTAATCAACACAGAACTGGCGTCGTCCTTCGTTTTAAGCTTGTGGAGCTATTAGGGAGAGATCGGACCATCTTTGGGTTTGCACCAAGTGATGTCATAGAATCTTCACTAATCCTTTGTATTTGTTAACATTCCTTCGTTTCGTTTCGTATCAACTAGTTTTGTCGATAGTTTTCGCATTTCCGTTATATTGATCTTCCCGTTTGTCGGTCGTGCTCTGTGATTCTGCGGTTTTGTTAAATATTTCTTGGTAAAGACGTTATGTGAAACTTTCAGTTGCATTTGTTTAAATGTGTTCACTTTTATTTGCTGAACTTTATCTTTTTTAGTTTCATTTAGCATTCTTGTGATTTACTTCTTAATAAACAAAAGAGGCATCAGATTTATACTGTCTTCCGACAGACCGCCGCAGTTGTGCTTCAGTAAATAAATGCCGCCTCCCAGGACGGGATGTGTGCGCTAGTTCCAGTCCTAGCTTCTTCTAGTCTTCTGTGAAATAGTTCTTGTGCTTTGATTTGAATCTAACCTGAATTTGCTTGACCTCCATCTATTTGCTTGGAGACAAGGGATGGCCAAGTGAGACATGTTTAAAGCCATATATCACTACTATATCTGGCTGGTTCGGCAACACTGGGTGTTGAATTGATGCACGTAGAACTATGTTTTCAAGGCCATTTGGGAGGAAGCGAACCGTGCAGATGTATACGTATAAGTAAACTGCTAATGGTACCATCAGAAAAGGGACTCACTGCCACCTGCTGAACACAGGGATGGAGCGTTGAACACAGGGATGGAGCACTTGTGGCAATATTTTGAGTACTGGGATGTTGGTTCTTAGCTTCAGTAAACTATACAAATAATACATTTTTTTATGGAAAAGAACCAATGGAAATAAAAAACGCTGCTTAGAGTTAGAGACGGCTTGTTATCTGGTAAAATTTAATTTTAATAATTACATCTAGATCGAAGAAAGTTGAACCTAAAACACAACCTTAGCTCTTCTAGTCCCAAGGAACTCATCATAAGTTCATGGGTTCCTACCTAGGAGCCCAATAAACGTAAGATCCACCAATATTATGTCTCTCTACTCCTTTCACCTCTGATGCTAAATCCCCTGGGACGGAAAGAGTTAAAGTGACATCTGTAGGTTACAAGACTGTTTTGGGGAGATTGGGTGGAGGATTAGACCCACCTCCACTCCTAAGAAACATGCTGCTCCCAAGAAACATGCTGCTCCCAAGAAACATGCTGCTCCCAAGAAAGATGCTGTGAAGCCAAAAGATGGACTCATTAGGAGTTTGCTGACATCAGATTGGGATGTAGATGTGCTGAACCACATGTTGTGCACCAGAACCAGAGCTCACACTAGGTTAAGACCCAGATAACCTCTCAGTGCTCATTTTAGAAACAGGGCCCCTGCTAGGGGGACAAGATGAAGGTCCAAAAGTGGATGAACAATCCAGCTTTCTGCTAGAGTTTTCAAACAGGGAGCACAAATAGACAGAAAAAAATTAAGTGTGTCAGTCTGAAAGATATCGGTATTGCAGCCCTGGCTGTAAACCACAACATGTTAACCACCCTTTTAAGGGCAAGCATAGAGGAACAATAATGAACAAAACTGTGGCCTGCCCGAGAAAGTAAAATCTTCAAATGCCAGGTATCGAAATAAGAGGCTAGTCTTGTTTTATTGTGAGATTGCTTCAGACTTCTTCAGCAGTCTTTGGTTATGTGCTTAATCTGCTATAGGCATAGGCTGGACATGAGTTCAGAGTCTCCAGAGCTTTGTTGTCAGGTCTGCTGAGTGTGGTCACATGTTGCTTCACATCTGCTCTGGGGTCTGTTCAGCTCGAAGACACTGGCAGAGAGCTGTTTGGCTCATATATAAATCATCAGAGCTGAATGTGCACTTTCATTCCACAAGCAAGACAAGATGATTTGGTCTATTCTCTTCAGGCGTTTAAGGAGCATCAGAGAATTCTTACTGTCAAATATCTATAAATAACTGACAATACAATGCTACCTTAACTAATGAAGATATTATTGGCTGTTTTTCAGTTCACCTAATAAATTTTGATTCAGCTAAGGAATATTTTAGTGGATGCGCATGCTAATATAAGGTGGCCATGTTGTGATCCTAATTATCTCAACAATCAGTAGAAATCATGGAAAATCATGTTTAGGCTAACAGAGATTTCGGCTAACAATAGTAGTTCAGGAATAGATTCTTTGCTAGCAGAGGTAACACTCTGTGGTAATATTGTTGGTTAAACTTTAGAGACAACATTAACACTACTAGTGTCACAAAGTTTTAAGTTTTACAGTTTTTTGCTTTCAGTTTTTGTTACTGTTTTTTTTTTTTTTATGTTTCAGAAACCACCAAGGCAGAGTTGGTGATAATGTCAGCAGATGTAGAGAAAACACATCTGGAAATAAAACCGGAAGAAATTAAAGTTGAAGAGGAGGAGAATACCCTGCTAGAGTCAGAGTCCTTGATAGACTGTCCTACAGTAGAGATAGACAGTGACATGAACCAGGATGAGGATACTGTATGTTTAGAGAATGATGATTATATCAGACAATCAGAGAGTGACTTAAATGTTTTCAGAGACAGTAGTACAACCAGCACAGCAGATGTAAGCTTTACCAGTGATGTACGTACAGCAGAGAGACATGATACGTCGCATGGTTATGGTTTGGAGTGTAATGCTGTTAGTGTAGATCACACATATGCTCGTACAGTGGAACAAATGTTTGAATCTAATATGTATGAAGTAACGCTGTCTGAAACAGAGGGTCTGGATCAGCGTGTAGGAAACCAGACTCTAGAAAAACCTTACACATGTGATATTTGTGCTGCATCATTTTCTCAAGATAGTTTCCTAATACTGCACAAAAGAATGCATGCAATTGAAAAGTATTTTCAGTGTGATATTTGTAGTAAAACATTTGCTCTTTCGAGCAAATTGAGGAAGCACAGAATAATGCACTCAGCAGAAAAAACTTACGAAGGGGATATAACAACTTATGAATGTAAAATCTGTGGAGCAGCGTTCCCTTATCCAAGCCAATTGTCGAATCACGAAAGAACCCACACAGGAGAGAAGCCTTATAAATGTGATGTTTGTGATTTATCATTTTATCATCTGTACCAGTTGTCAAATCACACAAGAACCCACACCGGAGAGAAGCCTTATAAATGTGATATTTGCAGTGCAGCATATTCTCTTCAGAGCACATTGTCAAATCACAAGAGAATCCACACAAGAGAGGAACGTTATAAATGTGATCTCTGCGATGCTGCGTTTTCTCACCTCTACAAATTGTCACACCACAAAAGATTTCACGAAGGGAAAGAATCTTATCAGTGCAATCTTTGTGGTATGGCATTTGAAAATTCAAGAACATTGTCAAATCACACAAAAATTCACACAGGCAAGAAACCTTATAAGTGTAATATTTATGATAGTGCATTTTCTCATCTGTTCAAATTGTCAAACCACCAAAAAGTTCACACTGGAGAGAAACCACATAAATGTGATGATTGTGGTGCAGCATTTGATTTTCCATACAAACTGTCAAACCACAAAAAAATCCACACAGGAGAGAAACCTTTTAAATGTGATCTCTGCGTTGCAGCATTTTCTCAACAATACAAACTGTCAAATCACAGAAGAATTCACACAGGAGAAAAACCTTATAAATGTAACGATTGTGGTGCAGCATTCGATTATCCAAGCAGCTTATCGAAACACACAAAAATGCACACAGGAGAGAAACCTTATAAATGTGATATTTGTGAAGCGTCATTTTCTTATCCAGATAGTTTGTTAAATCATGTCAGAATTCACACAGGAGAGAAACCTCACAAATGTGAGGATTGCGGTGCTGCATTCTCTCTTCCTAGGAAATTGACAAATCACAAAAGAATTCACACAGGAGAGAGACCTTTTACATGTGAAATATGTGACAAAACATTTTCTCTTGCAAGCACACTATTAAATCACAAAAAAATACATACAAAAGAAAAATCTTATAAGTGTGATATAGAAGAGAAACCACATATATGTGAGTTTTGCAGTGCAGCATTTTCCAGATATAGCAGTTTTAAAAAGCACCAACAAATACACACAGGCGAGAAAACACACAAATGTGACGACTGTGGTGCAGAATTTGATTATCTGAGCAAATTGTCACGTCACAAAAGAACCCACACAAAAGAGGAACTTTATAAATGTAAAACCTGTCATGCTGTGTTTTCTTGTAAAGCTGATTTCAAAGATCATAAAGTAATACATCCAGTGGAGAAACCTTACAAGTGTGATGACTGTGGGGCAGCATTTCCATATTTAAGTCATTTGACATATCACAAAAGAATCCACACCGGAGAGAAACCTTACATATGTGATATTTGTGGTGCAGCTTTTGCGTTCATGAGTATATTATCGGGTCACAAAAAAACACACACGGGAGAGAAACCTTATAAATGTGATATTTGTGGGGGAGTATATTCCACAAAAAGTAATTTAAAAATTCACATAAGAATGCATACAGGAGAGAAACCTTTCAAATGTGATGTTTGTGAGGAATCATTTTTGTATTCCTGGAAATTGTTAACACACAAAAGTATCCATACAGGAGAAGATCATTTTACGTGTGTAGATTGTGGTGCCGGATTTACTGATGCACGTGCATTGACAAAGCATAATGTGACCCATACAGGAGAAAAACCTTACAAATGTTATATATGTAGCGCAGCATTCTTCGATAAAGGTAGCTTGACTGTGCACAGTAGAATCCATACAGGAGAAAAACCGTATAAATGTAAAGCATGTGATGCTACATTTTCTTGTAAAGAAGAATACAAAGATCATAAAGCAATGCATCCAGTGCCAAAACCTTACAAATGTGATGATTGCGGTACATCATTTTCACATTTAAGCCATTTGTCAAATCATAAAAGAATCCACACCGGAGAGAAACCTTTCGTATGTGATATTTGTGGTGCAGCTTTTGCTTTTACCGGTATATTATCAGGTCACAAAAAAACCCATTTGGGAGAGAAACCTTATAAATGTGACATTTGTGGAGGAGTATATTCCACAAAAAGTAATTTAAAAATTCACCAAAGAATGCATACAGGAGAGAAGCCTTTTAAATGTGATTTTTGTGAGGAATCATTTTTGTATTCCTGGAAATTGTTAACACACAAAAGTATTCACACAGGAGAGAATCGTTTTAAATGTGTAGATTGCGGCGCAGGATTTACTGATGTACGTGCATTGAAAAAGCATAATGTGACCCATACAGGAGAAAAACCTTACAGATGTGATGTTTGCGGTGCAACATTTTTCGATAAAAGTAGTTTGACCGTGCACAATAGAATCCACACGGGGGAAAAGCCTTATAAATGTGATATTTGTGGTGCCGCATTTTCCTGCAGCAGTCACTTGAAAGCACATATAAGGACCCATACAGGAGAGAAACCTTTCATATGTGATGTTTGTGGTGCAACATTTGCTCAGAATGGTCAACTGAAAGAGCACACATATACCCATACAAATAAAAAACCTCACAAATGTGATGTTTGTGGAAAGAGCTTTCCTTTTATGGGTAAATTGAAAAAGCATAAACTGCGTCATTCAAGGGTTAAAACCTTATAGAAGTGATATTTTTTAATGTAGTATTTCTTGCATCTGCAGCAAAGATGGCGAAAGTAGTGGCAGCTGTGTCATGGTGGGGACTAGTCCTAACTGTGAACAAAACCAAATATGATCAACAGCGGCAGCATCCTTTGACTGCCGTGACAAACATGGAAGATAAGCACCCAGTTTGACAAGGAGCACTATATTATGCAGAATAACTTAATTACAAATGCAACAGCGGCGCCCAACGAGAATTCAGTACTGGCATTGTGAAGGATATTCTCCTAAAGATCACAGTTATACACTCGACAGACATGTTTGAGAAGAATCTTATATATTAATGAAGTAACAGAAAATGAATTGATCGGCACATCTAAATTTACATAAGAGCGTGACAGCCATATGACACATTTTTTCAACAAGAACTTCTAAGTGGGCTTCAAGCAGGATGCAGTATGCTAACAAAGATTATGCTTTTTAAATATTTCAGTTTTCAGCCAAAGATGTCAGAAAGACAGGTTGGAGGTTGAGTCGGATCTGCCTTATTGTTCTGATATCCAGATTGAGTTTTTATAAACAATTATCAACTCCACAGACATGTTCAAGAACCTAAATTTACATAAGAGAGTTCCAACCATTTGACAAGTTTTTCAACAAAAACTTCCAAGTGGCTTCAAGATGCAATATGTTGACAAGGATTACACTTTAAAGATCGCAATTATAAGCAAAAGCTCGAAGTAGCTGCTTGAACGCAATCAAAACTTTGATTTTTATCTTCTTCACGCTCACAAACTGTCAACTCCAGCAGAAAGTTCTGGGAGTTTGTCCCCTCTGGAATTTAGTCTTTTTCCAAAACCTGAGTGTTGCATGCACATCCGTTTAACAGATCTGACTTAATTGTATGCAGATTGTTGGTTCCTTGCCTCTCAGGCAGATGCCCCCAATTATTTGACTCTAACGACATGCTTGTTATAGAGACAGTGGGCATATTCTTGTTTTCCCTACAGTGGTGCCCTGGAACCCACACGAGGATTTTATTTTTTATTAAACAGAAAGATAACTAAAAGTTTTCATAAGCTGGTGGAATAAAATCAAAAGTTTTTTGTTTTGTTTTAAATTATCATGCAAAACAGACGGCAGTATTTTAGACTTACCCAGACAGGTTAGCAGGTTTCGCCAGGCTAGTGTTTTTATGACAGGGGCCTCACTTCTGTAGAGGTTGAACAAGGTATCTGGGATCTGCATGACTTTTCTGACATCCAGATTGAGGTTGTTTTTAAATCTCAGGGTGGTAAACATTTAGGTAGCCACTTGAGGCTTACAGAGTTATACTTAAAAATCCTTAGACAGCCAAAGTAACCAAGATGTTTTCAAAGAGGTGATGGTCCAAAGACAAGTTGTCACAGAGATCAGAAAGAGACAGCAATAATTTCTTATGCTATCAGACGAAGGAAGCTGGAACATACTTTGACCACAGGAAATATTTGTGGAAAGATAGAGGGTGAAAGATGACCTGAGAAGATTCTTAAAAGCTTTTTTTTAATGGTAGGAAGGGGTGTCAATCCATGAGCGGATCAATGCTGTTTATCATCACATGTTGTAGAGAGGCATGATTGCCCACACCAGTTGGCAAGGCACTTGATGATGATGATTGTTTTAGTAATGTCAAGCGGTTCTGTAAGTGAATGCATTTAACACTTTATTGATCATTAAATACTAGTGTTCAATTTCGGCTGCGGATATTTGTCACAGGCACATCATGGTTCTTATGGCTGTCAATTATTACACTCCTTGGCCAACAGCAGCTTGATATCTATGTCTTCAGATGAAGCTGTGGCACCATAGTGGACAGATTTCTAGGTGAACTTGGGCATATGTTAGTCACTTGTTGTGCAACAGACAGAACCATTGGCGGAATTGTTGAAACCTGACAAGTACTCCGTAGCACGGTCCACAACCCCTGCTTCGCTTAGAATCTCACATTACCCGCAAATAACTAGTAACAGGGCACTTTTCATTCTAATGAAAAACGTCCCGTCTAAAGTGACCTATTGTGCT